GTCGGTCGGTCAATCGTTTTGTGTCGTTCAAACGCTAACGTCAGACAGTGTATTTAACGTTTCCTTTCATGTGCCAGCGTTTGAGCAGAAGTTTCGACAGGAGATAGCTCTAGTCTGCAGCACAGTCCTTGAAGACAACTGTCCCAAGTCATTTATTCTCGACCGTTCTCGGAGTCTTCGGCCGGTTGGTTAAGCAAGTTGTAACTATTTTGCTTTTCTTTCTGGAAGCATTCGAAAAAAGCCTAACCCATTGCAGCGGTACTTCTCAATCTGAAGAAGAAGCAGCTGCACACCAAGGTTCTCTCGGCTATCTAAACTCCGAGACCAATCGAAACGTGCAAACCCAGCGATTCGTTTCAGAGGGCCAATTTCAACCACTTGTAGTTTTTCCTGCTTTCAGTCATGGTCTAGTGCGTAAAAAAGCATGGGAATGAAAATCGACTTGAATGCAGAGAACTTTATTTTGAGATTCAAGCCTAAGGCACAATGATTAAAGTCTCAGACGAAATATGTTACCATCCCGTTTAAAAGTGAAAATACCTCCGGTTTTCATTACCACGTTCAAGACTATTGAAATTCACTGACGAAAAATAATGCCCTTGAAAACCGTAAAAATGAGTTTGTGACTATAACTTCCAAATTACTCCCATAAGATATCTTGATCTGAAAGAATTTATATTACGGTCTTATCCATTCAGGGACGGCAGAGATCGACCTATGAGATCTAAACTTCGAAGAGAAAAAAAACGCTATCAACTGTTTTTGGGTAAATGCTAGATGATAAGTATGATAATACATTGAACACGTATCGACAATTTACTTGTAGCAACTCAGAAGTCTTCATGTTGAGGCCGGTCATATCTTCAGTTCTCTGAGTTAGACGAGTCACTACCGGATTGTCCTTGTCCTGCAGCCATGCACTAAATCAAAAATATAACACAGATGTAAGCCCAACAGTGACGAGAGAATCTGCAGCTTTATCGCCAGAAAAGTAAAAATTTAAACGAAAGAACCCCAGGATCAGTATGTTGGCTGTCACTGCAAGTATAAGTAGGAAGAGGATGGTTATATTTACCCACGCAGCATATGATCTTCACTTCCATAGGAAAAACGGTTTATATTTCAGTTCTCATGGTAGAGCAAAAGTTGTTTAAGTCAGATCAACCTTAAATTTTGAGAATATACAAGGGAACTGTAAGGGAAGGGGCTGAATAACACGTTATTATTAAAAATAGCCTAAAAATTATGTGAACTCACTTTTTGCTGACTCTGTAAGACGCAGTCTCTAAATCTCCGGTTTCTGAATTATGAACGGTGGCACGACGAAGCTAAAAGCTTAAAACATTTACTTTAAACCAAGTGACATAAAAAACATTTATAAAATACGAAACACACCAGTATTTATTCTAATCTGAGCACTTCTCTGAATTCACACGGCGTTGTCGTATAGCCGTTTCCTTCTAGTAACCTACGGGGCGAGTGCAGCAGGCCACGCTTCCATGGTATCTTAGTACCTGCAGTGCCTGGGCGCAGAAAAGCATGACTGTTGGGTCGAACAAAAATATATTCGACCAACGGACATACCTTAATGTGCAGGCATATTATATAATTGGCAGCAATAAACGTATACATTTTAACTTTTATTTATTCGAACATAATGTAACTATTTACAAGTATTATCTAACCTCAGTATCGCTATTGCGGACAGAAAACAAATCGAAAAAGAAGTAACGGTAACCGGAAATCAGAGTTCAGCACTACCAATATCCTCTTGAATAACTGAGACTAGGTAGAGAACGTGACTAAAAATTTGTAAGGTAAAAACTGAGGGAACACTTCCATATTAATCCACAAAAAACATGATGAAAGGACAAGAGGAATTTCAGGTGAAATTGAGGGAAGAAGCACCTGATGTACAATGAACGAAATCCGGATATCGTAATAAAATAACGTCCGCGTCACTTAAACAGTCAAGGCCTAGAAACTTGGCGAACCACCTTCGCTGTTCAAACTTATATACAATCACTTCTTCTTCGCTCTGAATCGAAGACCATATACGTCACCATCATTTAATGACCTCGACCCTAACATGGAATGACATGAAGTCTGCCAAAAGGTCAGAGTTATGCTGTTGCTGGTCTGAAATCTGTAAAATATCAAAATATACAGAATTCGTGAATCCATTTAAACAGCCAGTCACGGAATCAGATTTGAAACGCTGGTTTAAATTGTACCGCTGACTGCTGTTTGTTATGGAATAGTGGACAATGATGATACATAAGCTTAATCCACCAAGATTTATGAATCTTAAAGCTTTAAAGTCCTTATTAATAAATCGGTAATCGATAATTGACTTACTCTGTGATTTATACTTGATGTAAAAAATAAGTTCTTAATCGACTGAATTCACGGATAAGAAAACAATCTATCACACGAAAAAAGTCACATTGAATTTGGCAGCAAGACTTTCTTTTTCTTTCTTTTACAAGTTAAAAAATGACTTGTAAAACTACTAACTTTAAGCGTAAATCAGTTATTACCAAGGGCAAAGCCAACTGCTTGATGACAGCGAGTTCGTCGTCTGACACGATTCGACGAAAGAACATGATCTTTGGCTTCCAGTGCACTACTTCGACCTTGATGGGTGCCAGCTTCAAAAACGGTATATCGCGCTTGAGGTAGCAATACAGGTCTTTGGCGACAAAGGGAGGCTAAAACAATGTCAGTGAAGGAACAATGCAGTATGAAGTGAGAACGGTCGAGAACGGATACCATCGGCAGGCCGGCTTTGCGACATAACGATTCGTACTCTTCTCTCTCTGGCACATGGGTATCGTTTGGCCTTAGGTTCTGTATTGGGGGCAGGCGAGACTCGTCCAACCTCGTCTTGTCACCCTGCGACTCCGGGTCAAGCATGTTTTCGTAATATTTGATATTTTTGGCTGCCAGCACGTGCTTCGGCCGCATGTCAAGCAGGATGCGGGTGGTATGCAGGGCATGCTGAACGTTCCCCTGTTGAAACAGCGCGAACGCCAAGTACTCGAGGATCTCTGCCTCGTCGGCGGTCGGTGGATACTCGTTACGCACTCGATCTAGAGCCTCTTGCATCCACATCATTGTGTGGTAATAGTCTCTTTTTTGATAGGCTACTCGGCCAACTGAGAAGCAGTCCAAAGCTGAAATGTTATAAATCAACCAGCTATAACCTTTATTTCCATTATTTGCAATATATACACTTAACATTTTAACCACAGTGGTAAAACCTGGATTATGACA